TTTTTTCTTTTTGATTTTTTACCTGGATTACTGAGATGCATCAGGACTAAAGTGAACTCATTTACTTTCATAAAAATTTAAAAAACATTTTTCTTTTTAACTTAAACAGCAAAAATCTAAACTAGTGTTTTGATGAAAGGCARACTTTAGGAAAATCAATGTTAGCAGAGTGAGAATGAATGCACTCACCCTCCTTTGATGTAATCGAGGAACGTGTGCTCTGACTCCACGTTGAATGACAATAAGGACACCTGGGGAACCAAAAAATAAAATAACGGTCCAAACAAATTACTTCATGCTTGATAATTAAATACAATAAAATGTACTAATCGACACATTAACACTGACCTCTATGCTAACCAGCCACAAAATTACTTATCWAGACAGAATGTTGGCTCTGCATATTAGTATTACAATCACTGAACAGCAGCACYGCAGCGGGGCCGACAGATGAGCAACATGATGGATAACTAATCACAGATTTTAATTACACAGCCATGGCATTAGCAAGAGAGGTAAGAGAAAAAATGTGTCTCATTTCTAAACATCCAATCACTACTTCATTAAACGGACAAAGACAAGTGGAAGTTAATGCATTTTTAGAGACTTTTACCAATTTAAATTCACCATCTGCAACTGGAACAAAAGCGTTGAAACACATCGAGCAAGCTAAAGAAACTTCCAGATGAATATAAAAACTAAAGGAGGCAGGATTGGGAGGGAACCAGGAGGTTTGCTGTTATCTCAGATCTCAGACTCACCGTGCCAGAGTTAATGTATCTCTTTTTCTTTAGCTTCTTCTTGGGATTCACCACCTAGTTTAAAGGCAGAAAAGACACAGCGGATAATGACATAAACCTGCACCACAATTTTGTCTATTCAACCCTTGGGCGAGTAATAAAAGCAGCTTTGTCCTTCTATTCCATGTTTGGAAGGGTAATGGAGCAAAGGGAATGAATCCAATAGACGCAGTAGGTGAGAATGAGATACCATTGATCATGCCTCGCAGCAAGACGCAGATTATTCAGGATTTTTTTAAACCACCTACTCTGTATCTTACATATGCACCATCATGGGGATGATAGACTACTTGGCCAATATTTCACCCCCCCCCCCCCACCACCACCACCCCCACCCATAATAAACACAAAGCATAAATTAAATTGTGTTTAAATCCAGAGGCGTACAGTAACGTGTGACATGGGAAGAACAGGTGATAAGCACAGTGACACAGCATTTTCTGCTTTTGATGAAGCATACACTTAAAGCTCGAAGCATAAACCATGTATACAACAGTGAGCAAGGTCAAACATTTTTGTTGCTCAAGCTTCGTGTGTCTGTGCACAAACATAAAGCGTCGGCCCCGGAGGAAACTGCACGGCATAATGAAGTATGAAAAACCCACCCCCACCCCCTCCTCTCTTCCTCCTGTGCCGTTTCTAAAGTTGCTCGTCCATTATTTCCAACAAAAAACGATGCCTCAGAGCACTACAGCTGTCACTCAGTCCCTGTCTGAGTTCATGCAAAGTCACAATAACATCATATGCAATTACAGCAGCCTCTATTATCGTAACCCTGCTGTCAACTTAACTCCTAGAGCTAATGTTTAGAAGCTTTGTGCACGTCAGGCTGAGTATGAGGAAGGCTGAACGCTGCAGCCGGTTATGTTGAAGCTTTATGTGTTTTTTTTGTCCACATCTGGACAATCAAAAGCACTGACCTGGTGGAGAGGTTACTAAGACTCTGCTGTGTTTCCTTTGCTAATTAAACTGCAGAAGAATTTGGGGAAATGTCGTAGTTGTGCTTCCCTCTGTCAGCTGCGTAACTTAGACTAGAGCTACATTATGAAATGAATGATATGACAGCACAATGCATCTACGCTCTGGAGTGATCACAACAGCACACACAAACTGGGTCCACATCATTAATTTACATGTGACACACAACGGCARCAGACTGGATGAAAATGCAGTTTGCCACCATTTCAAGCTGTGTTTCAGCCAGCGCCTATGCTCAACTTATATACAAACATAACTCAGTTGTTTCTGATGTTGTCTAATACTGTATGCAGCGGTGGACCAAGTACCCATTTTCCTTACTTGAGTCAATGTATTGATCCTACTGGTCAGATATTAGTCCAAGTAGCTCTGTCTAATTATTATTTAAGGTAAAGTACTGGAGCATGTGCTTTCAAAATTACATGATAAAAATGTTAAGTTTTAGCATTTCATCTAAGTGTAGTTGAGAACAATTGGGATAATTTCTCTATTTTRGGCAGATCAGTAACACCAAATATGTAATAATGATGCATTAGTCTTGTATAGCACTTTTCTAGATGCTCAACGAAGCTTTAAAATTTCCTGCATTATTCATTCACTCCTCAGACACACGATGGTGGAAGTGTGGCTGCCATTCTGCACCTATACGGTCCCTCCAGACCACCAGTCGCACCACTTCTAGGCTTTTGCTAGAACCTGGTATTAATGACTGAGGATCTCTGAGCATTTCACATCTAAAACTCTCTAATTTGGGTCTTAAATGAGATGAGTCCCTATTACAACCAAAAAAAAAAAAACATTTGTGTTGAATTTACTTTAAAAATTATGTCAACGGGTTCTACTCAACTGAATTGAGTAAACGTACTGGTAATTTTTTACATGTATTTTATAGGTGAATGTGAAGCAAATTTACTCAAATATGTACATGTACAAAATATTTTAGGTAAATTAAATGCAGATGCTTTTTGGAGTGTAAAATCAGGACTAATCAGTATCTAAACAAAGAACCACAACAGTGCTGAAACATGTCTTCTATACCTATGCCTAGTGTATAGACCAATAATA